GTAGTCCTGTGACATCTTTTCTGCAGACGTTGGTGGAATAAAAGTGGTGATGTCTTGTGTGTTTTCGCTCGTGTGTTTCGTAGGACTCTAGAAAGCTTTAAGGTGTAACTGGTGCTTTGTCCCCCCACCCCCGGACACACACACACACACACACGCGCGCGCGCACACACACACACTCACATATCTACATATACTCAAAACACTCATGGATCTGGAAAAAATTGGAATCTTTAAAAAAAAAAAAAAACTCGCCGTGTAGATAGCATTTGAATATATTCCATTTTTACGATGTAGACATGACCGAATGTTGTCTTGACAGTTGGTGGTCAACGTTATTCTGAATACCGTAGCTGTCATTATTCTAGTGCTAAAACAATTGAATCCACTAGTCTGGACAAAGCTTTCCCAAGTCAGCTGACCTAAATTCCCTCTTCTGCGAAAGGAAATGGAAAGCTCCTGAACTATATAGCCTGATGGGGAGGTAATCGGTTTGAACCATATGTTGGTCAGTACTTTGCGTAGTCTTGCACAAGCGCCAGTGTAAACCATTAGTTTCGGTTTTCTCAATCGACTTCGTCTTGGTAACGCCAGAATTGACCCAATTCGTTTAATATCATACGTCGTCATGTCCAGACTTTCATTACATCGCTGATATGTTCAGTACGTGGCTTGATATTTTTATTGCAACGTGATCTGTTCATTACACAAGCTGATATTTTTATTGCAATTATAAATATTCGTTATATGTTGAGGGTTTAATTAAACTGTTAATATTTTATCTTTACATATAAAGTATTTAAGCACGTAAACATTTCTTCTCCTCACGGGGTCAAGTATAATGAGAGATTTTAAGAGATTTTTTTTTTAAACAGTGTTGATGTCAAAGATTCGTCTGGCCGAACGGTTAGAACGCTAATGTTTCAAGCGGAAGACCTGGGTTCGAATCCTCGTTAAGGCTGTCGGAGGTAAAATAAAATTCTCACATGCACAGTCGTGGCGACAGCACAAGCCATGTGGCTGTAAATCCTCAGGCTCAAAGATCCCCTGCCTACACAACATAATTGGTATAATAAAGACAGGAACCCTTTTTTTTTTTTTTTTTTGAGGGTTGATACCAAATGTGCAAGAACTAGATACGGGACTTCAAAGATTATATAAATAACAAAAACAATACCAATCTACCACCATTAGGGCTGCCAGAACTCGGAGGTTTCAAATCCCCCCCCCCTTTTTTTTTCCTCAGAATAATTTTAGGGGACACAAGATTGCGGTTTGGGAAAGGAAGGCGGCGGGGTTCAGAGAAAGGCCTTCGAATTTTCTATAGAAAGGAGGGCGGCTTTATCGGGCTGGTCTTTCATGCCCTAAGCTTGTTAACTTTAGGAAATTTGGAAGACAGATCAGTGGCCACCGGAGTTCTGTCTATGTATTGTAAGCACAGAACTAAAGGGCCTTTTCTCACGTCTTCAGGTCTATTGCGCATATATTGTAAGTACAGAAGTCAAGGGCCTTTTTTCACGTCTTTAGGTTTATTGCGCATATAGTGTTAGACTTATGTTTTTGTAGACCAGTCGGTAGTTGATGGGTGATGTTGACAACATCACACCGACCATCTTTACTTCCTATGAATATACCTGGTAACTTTTTAAGGAGCCAAGATTATGTTTTGAAAGACCGCTGTCTCTGTTATCAGGACCTTAACCCACTAGCATCAGCTATTACACCAAGGGCGCTCCCAACTGCGTATTGAATTGTGCCTTTCAAATCCCATTACAACATCATGTTATTATGTTTTTATGTTTCTGTGCAATTTCGTATTTTTTTTCTGTTAGCGTTCGTCGGCTGTCAACTCCGAGGGAAAGTTTTTATTTTTAAAGGTAAGCAGGGATACACACTACTAGTCCCCCCCCCCCCCCCCCCCCCACCCCACCCTCTATGTGTTCCCTAGGCATCACTATTTTCAGCACTGCTATTAAAGACTATTTGTTGTGAGGACCTACATCCGGTTGAGAGTTGAATGATGCATACCGGCACATTTTTCTTTCAAAGAAACTAGCCCTCATTGAACCCCTCTCCACACCCCAAAAAAAAAAAAAAAAAACTGCTTATTCCAGTCCGTCTGCCTAATGATTTTTTTTGAAGCGGCACCATTGGAGAGCATGTTTCAATCTTGGTATTTGTACTTTCTGGTGGTGTTCGCCACAATCCTACAAACGTGGTATTTGGAATTTCTTGTGGTGTTAGCCACAATCCCACAGACTTGATATTTGGAATTTCTCGTGGTGTTCGACACAATCTCACAGACTTGATATTTGGAATTTCTTGTGGTATTTGCCACAATCCCACAGACTTGATATTTGGAATTTCTTGTGGTATTTGCCACAATCCCACAGACTTGATATTTGGAATTTCTCGTGGTGTTCGACACAATCCCACAGACTTGATATTTGAAATTTCTTGTGTTGTTCGCCACAATCACACAGACTTGATATTTGAAATTTCTTGTGTTGTTCGCCACAATCACACAGACTTGATATTTGAAATTTCTTGTGTTGTTCGCCACAATCCCACAGACTTGATATTTGAAATTTCTTGTGTTGTTCGCCACAATCCCACCGACAGGGTGAACTGATGTTGATGATCATCATCACTTGGAGTCTTTGAGATCTGCTTTGAGAGACAGATCCCACATGGCTGTGGTCCCGAGTATTGTACCATCTTTATGTATATTAAAGTAACAGAATAATTTTTTAATGCGTACCTTTCATCCCCATATAATTATATGTTGGTACAATATTTAAAGACAATTTTTAGCCCAGTTAAGTAATATTTGTTGATAACTGTCATACCCATTTAATGACATCCAGAAGCAGTGTTTTAAGATATATTTTCTTTTCTTGTTTTCCTTCTGCTATTGTCAATATCTGCTTTGTGCCACCAGGCCTCGCAGTTTAACGCAAGGTCGGTAGCCGAGCTAGGGCGAGTCCGGTTGCACGGCATACTATAAAGTTGTAAAGTCATGTTCTGTTAGTGATCTGGTTGGTCAATGTTCTTCTACGTCTCCCTCTCACTGTTAATCATTTTTTTTTTATTTTCAATTTTCAAATTGAGGGCTCTGGCTACAGCATCGTTGGTTTCATTCTTAATGAATTAATCAAGTAACAGAAAGTATTGTGAACGGCACTCATAGAAAGAAGTAGAAAGATAGAAGAACACACTAGTCAACATACAATTCGAAAGCTATAGTTACAGTGCCGGGAATTGAACCTGTCACCTCCAGACGGCGTCTGCGCCTCGCCATGAATACAAGTGCACTAAGATACATGGTCAACTCGGCACCCCCAAAAAAAGGTGTCTCATTGGCCATGTCTATCGTACAGCTTGAAATCCACGACTATGGAATACGGACAGAATTCATTTCAACCCATTGAAATGGCACTATAGGTTACAGAAATTTATATTAACGAAGCAAATGTCGAATAACAATCACAGCAACAATTTACGAACACAGTAGACCTTATTGCCTTGTCTAGAATACACATAAGAGGTGGTCGAATCGTTTCCGTCTTTCTGATACAATATTTGTACATAGTTTTTATACCGATTTAGTAAATTTATGAAGTAATCTTTGTAGATATCTTTTATCCCCATTTAGTAACATAAATACTGTTTCTTCTTTGTGTTCGGTTTAGTCTGCTTAGATCAGACCACCAGGTGGGTTGCCTGTGTGATCTCAGAGATCAGACCACCAGGTGGGTTGCCTGTGTGATCTCAGAGATCAGACCACCAGGTGGGTTGCCTGTGTGATCTCAGAGATCAGACCACCAGGTGGGTTGCCTGTGTGATCTCAGAGATCAGACCACCAGGTGGGTCGCCTGTGTGATCTCAGAGATCAGATCATTAAGTGGGTTGCCTGTGTAATCTCCCATGTCAGCAGAATGTCCTTCATGGTTCTCCACAACTTGCTTTGCACACTTTGCTCTTGAGGCCAGGTGTCTTTTGAAAATTGTAGGTAGAGTGGGCAGGTTTGCAGAATATGCTAAGGTATGTGTAGGTCCTGTTTGACGGGCACAAAGTGGAGACTGTACAATCTTTATTTTATGCAGTTTAGTATTTTAGCTTGCAGTGTCCCGTTCACAGACGGAAAATTGTTTTATGTTGCTTTCTGTTGAGTCTGTTGTTGGGGTCTTGTGGATATTTACTGTTAGTTTGTTCTCTCCACAATTCCTTGTTCTTTTTTTACTTTGATGAGTGTTCTAATTTCTGGTAATGAGAATGAATGGGTGTGTTGTTTCTCCTTTGTCCCATTTTTTGCAAGTTTGTCTGCTAACCCATTACCTGAAATGTTGCAGTGAGCCGGGATCCACTTGAAAACGAGTTGATTGTTTTCTGTGAGTTTGTTTAGTTGGCGGGTCAGTTCTATCTCCATGTGTCTCGTGGATCCCTTTGAGTCGTCTAAAGAACTGACATGCAGTCGCAAAGGAAAACAGTTTTGCCGTTTTTAATTATTGTCTTTTCCTCGTGCACTTTGGTTGAATTATTGATTACTTTCTGCTTTGCTCTAAAGTTTGTTGAGAATCTTCCGGAGGCGCATGAGGTTTCTACTGTGGTCCCATCTTGCAGCGCGATGACCGATCCAGCTCCTCCGGTTTTTTCCCCCCTGCTCCCTCCAATGATACATAGGTGTATAAGTGTGATCATTTGGGTTTTGGATAAAAGAGCATGAATACAATATTGATATATGTGTGTGTGTCCCCATTTTGTAATATTATGATACAATATTGTCAGATAGCTTTCATCCCTATTTAGAAACATACGATTACAATAATTGTACACATCTCTTTGTCCCTATTTAGTTACATTATGCTACGATAACTTTAGACTCAATCACTGGCACCGTTGCCTGGCAATTGCTGCCTGGTTGTCACTCAAGTAAAATTGCAGGTCTCTGGTCGGACAGTTGTAAATTACGAATTATGATCAGTGCTTACCATATCTGGCTGATGAAAAGCCAAGTCTGCTGGGGTTGGCTGCACCGAAACAGAAAATGGTTAATCAATGACAGCAAAGAACGAGGCTGGCGTGGCGTTGAAAGCTGGCATCAACAGTTTTGTTGCTGCACTTCATGCATTTTCTATAATGACATATTAATATCTCCGCAGAATTATAGATTTCTTGGTGATATTTGAGAAAACACGTTCTTATGTTGCCTGGAAGTACATCATATTTGAACAACCACGCTTATATGTTACCTGGATGTACAACATATTTGATCAGACACGCCCGTAAGTTGCCTGGATGTACAACATTTTTGAACGAACATGCTCGTATGTTGCCTGGATGTATTTGAATAAACACACCCGTGTGTTGCCTAGATGTATTTGAATACGCTCGCATGTTACCTGGCTGTAATTCTTATTTGAATAAACACGCCTGTTTGTTGCCTAGATGTACAACATATTTGATCAGATATGCCCGTATGTTAACTAGATGTACATCATATTTGATCAAACACGCCCCTATGTTGCCTGGATAGTTAACATAGTTGGATACTTTCAGAAACAGGACTATGGTTAACGTGTACCGTAGTATGTGGCTGCATGTATGAGTGGTGTATTTAGTGAATGTACATGCATCAATGTAAAATTACATGGACTATTTTAGACGCCGCCACGAATGTGATGCTAGCTTCAATTGTTAGAGACCCGTCCGCACTCGGTGAGGTATGTGGTCAACATCACGCCGGCCGCATTTACTTTCTAGGAAATTACCAGGAACCAATGTTAGGCTGGGTTGACATGTGAAGCGAAGTTTAATTTTCAAACATTGCGGCTCCCGCGTAAATGAATACGTGGATAGTCTTATCTTCTTAGCATTTACCCTATGTAAACTGTGTCGGACAGTTCTGGCTACTTTTGAGTCTTGGTCTTTTTCCAGAACTGGAGTTTTGCCTACACAGTCGTTTTACATATGTGACTTTTTTGTATGCAGACTATTGGTTCCTCACCTCTTCGACCTCAAGGGAAGCAGCACGAAACAATGCTGTAAACGACATGCTTGTTAGGGACAGTGGGTGTCCCCTCCCCCTCCTCCCCCCTCCCTTTCTCATAGGGCATTGGAACCTACATAGTGACATGTGTAATCATTATGACATCTTCTGGGGGGTATCCTTGGCATCGTTGTCAAGCGGTTGTCTCCAGTTCTGTTTGGTAATGGGTGCAGTTTCTTTTTATAATCTCTCAAGTTGTCGCTGCAGCTGCATTATTAGTGAAGTGTGTGACACATTTGACAGCTGGCTTGGCGTTCTGCCAAGGAAGATACTCTGGTCTTACTTGTTCTTTTATTTTAAAAAAAAATTAATACATAAATATATTTTGTACTTGTGGAATGTTTAAATGAAATATGTGCATAGTGCATATTGAGATGCCCCTGAAGACAGCGCTATCCTATTGGCATAAGCAATGCTATACATACTAGGCCTTAAACATGATGAGGATAATAATTTGTTCTCTGACATGGGTCCGTAGCCTAGGTGTACCACTTGGAGCAGCGCCTCGTGAGAACCACGCCAGAGTTGACAGTCGCTACATCAACCAATTCAAAAAAGAAGTCGTCGAAGACAGTCAAATACACCAAGGGTTAAGAAAGATAACTAGGAGAAGACTGATGCACTTATGGGTGTGACTTCTGTAGTTCTTTCTGACTTGTTGCTGTCATACATTGATGCAGACAGTCACGCCGCTGTGCTCTTGGTTATATCTGGTACCAGATTGACTGAAGACATACTTATTATTCATTAAACACAGTATGTGTTTTAGTTATGCCATCTGACTGTGCTGCCAGTTGACACTGTTGGCATTCTTTATTAGCACAGCCTGTCAAGTTTAGTTTTACAATGGCCTCTAAGAATGTGCCATAGACAAGCAAAACAAAGACTCTCTTAATACAGAGTAATGGAAACATTATCCACCTGTCTTCAACCGAATAATTTAAGCACCAGGTCAACCCAGGCTTGAGTGGGTACCGGGTGCAGTCCAGGGAAGTAAAGGCGGCCGACGTGATGCTGATCACATCACCAATCTTGTGCCGACTGGTCTTTAAAAATATAGGTCTGGCCCCAACCTATATTTTTAAAGACTAGTCGGCACAAGAGTGAAGCAGTCAGTCAATTCACAATTTGCCCTCACGGATGGTTTTGTAGAAACGCTGTCCATTATATTACCTATATCATTCTACATATCTTAGTTACTCTATTAAAGTTGATACGTGTGCGGGTGAACAGAACCGACCATGATGGCTTAAGATCTGGCTTGGGATTTTCAGCTATAATGGAGGAAAAGATCACGGCAGAACAAAATGGAGCTTTCTTATCTACAACTTCAAGCATGGTGATGAAGATGGATGCAGTCACTGCATCTCCGAGGGGCATAGCAGAAAATCACGTTACGGACAACATGTACTGTTAAGGGCAAACGCCCATTTTTTGTAAACCTTTGACATTGATCCATAATTCCTGTTTCATGGACTTTGGTGTGAACTAGTAATATATCTTTCACTCATCTTATTGTATTAAGTAGTTTGCATGTGGAATATCTGGAGCCGCCGTTGTGTAGTGGAAAGCCTGTCGACTGTTGATCTGAAGGTCGTGGGCTCACATCCAAAAGGAGTTGGATTCTTTCTCCAAAACTAACCTTGTCTCTCAGGTCGATACAGTCTTAAATTTAACAAAGTATGTCATGTAAAGTAAAGGCGGACGGCGTGATGCAGACCACATCATCCACCAAGTGCAATTGGCCAGTAAAATGTAGTTCTAGCACTGTATTCCTGAAAAACATATGAGAAGGGTCCTTTACTTCATTTCATGTGGAGTATGCATCTGTCGGCGTTGCTAAAGACCCCTAATGCCCGCCTCCAACGCTATGATGTTCTGTTCATGATTCGGGCAGAAGAGGGTCGTCAGCACGAAAGTAAAGCTCCTGTAGGCGGAAAAAAAAAAAAAAAAAAACTATAGCTAAAACCTCCTGTCGGCTCTGTGGCTAAGTCGATGCGAACGCTTCGTAATGCCGGGTTCAATTCCAGCTGCGGGCCATGCGCCTTGTGTTGGTTTCGACAGTGGTATCAAGAAAGCCGACCGTCCAGCAAGCAATGGCAAACTACTGGACGTAAATTTGCCTAAAAAAACCACACAACAGCCAGGGGCTATTCTGGTTGGTTCTGCAACTTCCTGTAAAGGATACGCAACTAACCTAAAACCTCAATATTTAGACACAACGATTCGGTGAGAAACCCTCAGAGGAAAACGAGTAAAAATCCCTGAGGCGGTTCATCAGTGTTTACACTGCTGCTCCGACTATTCCTGCAACGTCTTTGATGATAGGTTGTATTAAAATGTGCCCTTTCCCTTGGCATTACCGGCGATGTAGAGAGAGGATGCCAGCTGCTTGGGCAACAGCCTCTACTGTACCATGCCCAAACCTTTGACCTGAAGAGGATACTCCAACTTTACAATCACAGGAGACTAGGTTTCTAGAACCACCGAAACAGCTCAAGTGTCCCTGCAGACTGGGTGTTGCCAAAATGAAGAGGGAAGAAACAATATTCTTTTCACGAATCTTCGATCTGGACGTTGAATACCCCTTCACCCAGAATTGTATATGGACACATATTCACATTTTACTAATCTTCACTCTGAATGTAGAACGCACGATAACAAAACCTTACATGGAAGTAGAATAACGCTCAATTGGCAAATAATGTGGAAGTCTACCCATATATGGGACTTTAATATCAATGTGGAAGAGCTTACAACCTAGCCGCTGATGTGAATGTTGTATATCTGTTTACTAAGCTTTTGTGTGGGTTAAAAAAATTTTTTTTTTTAATCCGTACTTAAATAATTTTTTTAATAGTCATTCTTCTTCTTTCTTTTGTCAAAATCTGCTTGTGCCGCTAGGCGTCGCAGTCTATCAGATGATTGGCAACCGAGCCAGGGCGCGCTCAGTCGCTTCATATGCCATGATGTTATGAAGTCTCAAGTTGTCCGTGACTCCTTCAATCCATATTCTTCTTGGTCTTCCCCTGCCTCTTGGTGTTTTGATTTTCATGTTGTATGCTCTTGATGCTGGCATCGTTGGTTCCATTCTCATTAGGTGACCAAACCATTTCATTCTTTGCTTCTCAATAAATTTAACGATGGGTATGGTTCCAATAGTTCTTGTAATCACATCGTTTCTCACTCGATCTCTTCTGGTTTTATTCGCAGCCATTCTCAAACATCTCATTTCACAGGTGGTTAGTCTTCTCTCGTGTTCTTTTGTTAATGTCCAAGTCTGACATTGATAACCTAATGTCGGTATAAAGATTGTATTTATAATTTGTCTTTTTATCTCAGCTGGGACAGCAGGGTGTTTTAAAATTGGGGAAAGCTGGTATGCGATATTGTTGGCTTGTTGGGGTTCTTGTTTCGATCTCTCTGTCTATTTTACTATTGGATGTAAAGATACTTCCCAAGTATTTAAATTCTTGCACTTGTTTTAGGCTGTGATCTAGAATCTTTATGTCGATGGTCTGTTGCTCTCTACTTACGCTGATGACTTCTGTCTTTTCAGTATTGATCTTCATATGTCATTAGCTACAGTATTAGACAATCCCAGCAGCACAAAGAACCATCACATACAAAGCCTAGTCTCATTTCCAGCCTATGCATCTCTTTCTGAAGCCGTCCCTCGTGTGCATCTTTCTACGGCAGTCCTTTATTTCAGCCAACTTTCTGTCACAGCAGAGACTGTATCTGATCTGACTAAGCCATTTGAATTTACTGTCCCCTTCTTGGAGCCAGATGCCGACCTTGTGTCCATAGGGAATTCCCTGTGTCAGTGTCTTACATATTTGTGGTCATTCGGCATGATTCTTTCCTTGTCTCACTCTCTCCCTCTCCCGATATATATATATATATATACTTTTATAAATATGTAGTCATGTGTGCTGCACCAGCAAGCAAGCGGGTGGCAGGTAATGAGTGTATGTGTGTGTGTTTTCTTTAACTACTGCGCGTTTGAGAATGCGTGCTGAATTTTGGTAATACAGTGTGATAGTATTCGTTTTTTGGCTACGGGACACCAGTAGCACACATATATCTTCGTGTAGGGAGTCGGCAGTCCGAAACCCAAGTTCAAGGTGTCTCCTTCGTGCCAAAGAATTGCATGGCTGTTGGGTGAACAGTCGTTAACGAAGGCAGTCAGGTATTTGTTGGGGCGAGGCTCGCTGGTGGATGTAATGTCCTAAATCCCTTCCCCAGCTAATAGTAGGGTACTGCTGGGGTGACAGTTTATTAACCCTCACATAATGAATCAGGTCCAAATGAACACTAGGCACTGCCACTGTTTTGAGCCGAAGCATACATTTTTGCTTTTGCCAGACTGTGGCCGTTGCTTTCTTGCTCCATTTGTAGACTGGGAGTATATAGTTTCGTTGCCCAGCTTATGGGTTGAGTGCATGGTGTGACACTGTGAGCTGCTTTCATTTGGAATGTTTTTCGACTGACCAACGTGGTGGTGTGATTTGTAGATTCAGAAAATGGCGCGATGCAGGTTGTCGCTATATTGGTGGGGCCATTAGTTGATTAAAATTGATCGCGTGTGCAACTGCTGATCTTTTAATGACTTCTGCTACCATCAATGATGAACTGCATTTCTAACGTCAGACTGTTTGTGTTAGCACTTCCGATGGCTACCATATGCTTTTAATGCCAGTGTATACTAGATTTGCTGAGACAGCAGTTAGTCCGTCTTTCCACAAGGGACTGTGATTAACATTCTGTGTGTTTTTCGTTGGCACAGGAGCGGAGCAAAGATGGGGTGACCCGTTTGCTAGGAAGCTGAAATTAAAATTAACAGATTACCAGGGCCGGACATGGTCACTCACAACAAACCAGAAAAAGGAAATTGGTAACCTTCAAAATGAGTTGTTTGAGAAAGGCTGGAAGAGGGACCAGAAAAGATTAAATCAGGATGAAAGAGTCGGCACAAAACTAATTCTAAATTACACAAAAGAGAAGCAAATGAAATGGTTTGCCCACTTAGAGAGTATGTCTTGTAACGCTATATCATTCAAGGTATACTCCTTAAGAGAAGAAGGGTGTAGAGTACGAGGAAGACCAAGAACAAGATGGAAAGAACATCAGAAAAACTCTAAATCAGCACAGTGTGTGTATGCTCAAAGCTCCCAGAAGAGCAAGAAACAGAACCTTTTATTCCTCTCTACATCTGAAGCGGTAAACGATAAAGTAAAGAAGAAGAAGTTGTTAAGTAACATGTTCATTTATCAAACCAACCATATTGATTCGGAATATCCGTTTTCCGTGCTGACATAGAGTACTCGTGGGAGACGGGCCTCTGTAGGTTGGTCCGGGTGTCTAGTCGGAAAGAAAGTTTTATTCCTTAAGTCTATCGTGTCCAAATGGTCAGCCAGTGTCCCTTTGCCAATTGCCAACAAAGTCTAACACGGGGCTGATGAACCAACCGTAAGCTTGCTACTTTGTCTAATAGGCTACCGCAGCGACTATACATATAACTTCGAATCTCACAGTAACCGTTGCATAGTCACCATTTTCGTCTTGTCCCTGTCCGAGAACATCCGGTAATACGTGCAGCAGGTGCAGATCAAAACCTGAGAGTCATGACTGATGGTTGGCCCACCCTCTGAAATTGTCTAGGAGTTCGTGGACCGAAACAGTCGTTGACGAAGGATCTTCTACTAATGATTGTTAGACTCCTGCTGTAGAGCCTCCCCTGTGGAGTTATTATTATTATTAACAACAATGTGGTTGTCAGCTGATATGTTGTGTATTTAAACGCTGACACTGGTGAGATCAAACGTCGCGTAGTTAATCATCAGGCGTTTAGTGAACAAATTATTGCTTGATTGATTGAATGTTATGTGGGTGTTAGCTATATTTTTATTATGTGAAAATAAATGCAAGACTGAGAATATAACAGTAGTTATGATAATATGAACTATTTTTTAATAATCGAATCATTTTTCTATTATTAGTACAATTAATTTTAATACAGCAACACCAGTAGTAGTAGTAGTAGTAGTAGTAGTAGTAGTAGTAGTAGTAGTAGTAGTAGTAGTAGTAGTAGTAGTAGTAGTAGTAGTAGTAGTAGTAGTAGTAGTAGTAGTAGTAGTAGTAGTAGTAGTAGTAGTAGAAGTAGAAGTAGCAGTAACAACAGTATTAGTAGCAATAACTGCAGTAGTAGTAGGAGCAAGACTAGTAACATAATTGGGGAGAGCGGTGGGTTAAAAGTTCCCTTTTAACCGCGAATAGACATTTTCTGAATATTATTATTTCTTTTTATTGGATCTCACCCCGCCCTCTAAATTTTTTGAGAGGATTTGTGATTATGATTGAAACGATTTTTTTCGTTACAGATGAGACATCTGATTTGGAAACATGGAAGAATGATCTTAACAACTTACAGAGGCCTTCAAATGACATGAGCCCTCCATGTGCAACGCCTCATAGGGGACTTCCTAACACGCTGACCAAGTCGAATTGGCAATCACCGACAATGACCTACCAGGGTGAGCGAAATAACAACAATAATTTTGGCAACATTAACAACAACACAGTACTTTGTCAAAACAAGCATCCGAGGTCACCAATGGTTTCACAAGCTACTAACCCATCTGGTTGTAGAAATAGAGGATTTTCTAACAACAACCAAATGGATGACGTCGTGAAGAAGGAGACCAACAAGGGAAATACTTTCGTCAGCAACTATATCAATCAACTCAACAATAACGTTAATTCGCAAACTGGCAGTCTGGCTACCCGTGACCAAGCACAGACCATGTCTGTGAAATCAGCTGTAACTGGCCAGCATCAAAATAGCAGTGAAGTATCAGCCCGACCATCTGAATGTCCCCCTACAGCAGTAGCTGGCGTCAACTCTGATACTACAGAGTGTAATTTCAGCGCAAAGACAACTTCGTGTGTACGGTATGGTTCCGTACACGGGATGGATTGCTCAGAGTCACGACGAAGGAACTACTCCTCATCTTCTCTACCTTTGAGTCTCATGGCAGCTACCATAGAAGAGGTGGATGATTCTGATTGTGTGAATAACACTTACACTCAAGGAACATCTAGGTCACATTCTTACGGAGGTCAAGTGACGCCTAAAACTAAAATCTCCTATCAAGCGTTACGTCGGGAAGCCCGAGTGTCCAGTGTGAATTCCCCACCAATAACAAAACGTACTGGGCCCACAATGGAACTGGTCCGATCTGCTAGTGACAATACAAACAGACTGACCAGCCTCAGAGATGTCGACATTATAGGAGAAAGCTTCGAGTCCAGGTATCCCTGGCAGAGGGATTTTGGTGTCCAGTGTGAAATAACCAATGACTCCCATATACATCCCAGCTTGAAGAGAGCTATGTCGGGCCCCGCTATGTACACATACTTTCGCTCCTTATCTCTGGCCTCAAGCAGCAGTCCCTGTCCCTCTCCACCTTTGACAGTTCGAGACCTGCCCCTTCGTCACTGCACGAGCAGTCCTCAGTCCGACTTCTTCCAGCCCCAGCAATCAGCAAGTCATGGCGATTCACCAGCTCCTTTGTACCGTCAGACAGCCATGAATCGCAGCAATAGTCTCAACAAGAATACCAATCTGGACTTCTCCCTGTTGGATAAGACACGAAGTGGCCTTCTTTATAACAGACGGGCAGATTTTAAGAAGAAACCACGCCCTAGTTCAGTTGGAGCTGTGGATAGCATAAGGTATGTGTATGTCATATACAGGCAACAATATCAATCGATGTATTGTTTTGTTTTTCCTTTTTATTACAACACCCGTACATGCACACATTCACCAAGTCTTCAGAATCAATAAACTGTCCATATGCTTCTCACAAGACAATCCAGTATTTTACTGTTGTACGTGAGCTTCTTATATGGAGCTCTGCAGATCCTAATCAACATTTAGTGCTAGACTTAGCTCTCTGCTAAGCATTTTCAGTTGTGTGTTCGTTGTCGGTCGGCGCCAACATGATATAGTGATATTGGCCAGAATCCCAGGGTACATCTCTAAATATTTTCTATAACTAAGCTGAAAAATGTGCATCAGAATATAAGGCTCTGTGGTTTAACTCGTGTGTGTGTGTGTGTGGTGGTGTTGGTGTTGGTGGTGGTGTTGGTGGTGGTGTTGGTGTTGGTGTTGGTGGTGGTGTTGGTGGTGGTGTTGGTGTTGGTGTTGGTGGTGGTGTTGGTGGTGGTGGTGGTGTTGGTGTTGGTGTTGGTGGTGGTGGTGTTGGTGGTGGTGGTGGTGGTGTTGGTGGTGGTGGTGTTGGTGGTGGTGGTGTTGGTGGTGGTGTTGGTGGTGGTGTTGGTGGTGGTGTTGGTGGTGGTGTTGTTGTTGTTGTTGTTGGTGGTGTGTGTGTGTGTGGTGTTGGTGGTGGTGGTGTTGGTGGTGTGGTGTGGTGTGGTGGTGGTGTGTGGTGGTGTGTGGTGGTGGTGGTGTGGTGGTGGTGGTGTTGGTGTAGTGGTGTGGTGGTGGTGGTGGTGGGTGGTGGTGGTGGTGGTGTTGGTGGTGGTGTTGGTGGTGGTGGTGTGTGTGGTGGGTGTGGGTGGTGTTGTGGTGTGGGTGTTGGTGTGTTGTTGTTGTTGTTGGTGTTGTTGTTTGTGTGTTGTGGTGTTGTTGGTGTTGGGTGTTGTGGTGTGTTGTTGGTGTTGTTGTTGGTGTTGTTGGTGTTGTTGTTGGTGTTGTTGTTGGTGTTGTTGTTGTTGTTGTTGTTGTTGTTGTTGGTGTTGTTGTTGGTGTTGTTGTTGGTGTTGTTGGTGTTGTTGTTGTGTTGTTGTTGTTGTTGGTGTTGTTGTTGTTGTTGTTGATAAATAACTCTTTTAGGCGCATGAATTTTGACAGACTTGGCTCACATTAATTTCCCTTTACAAAAAAGAGGGTAGGTGTACAAGAAAGGTTTTAGAGAATGTAATATACTTCTAATACGTATTAAAAGTGTATATTTTTAAAAAGAGAAATGAATGTACATTTGAATCTGATAAGTGTTTGTTTAATTTTGTTATAGTTAGTAGGAAAGAAGAATTCAGCAGGTGTTAATATCACAAGGACAACATTTCACAAACAAATTCTTCACTTACCATGGTTTTGCAGCCACAAGAGTAGTAAATATCTAAATTTGAGAACAAAACTTCAAAGTTTGTTCACTTTCCTAACATATTCCAAAGTTATGATAACTTCCTGGGTTAGCTTAGCACTCAGGGGCTCTTAACTCTCACAGAGTGCTGAGCAAAATTTCAGAGAAAATATGAGCCATTACACACATACTGTTTACTATTTACTTTGTACAGTTATTTACAGACTGTAGCTGCGATAAATTCCAATGTTGCTTAGCCATAGTATACTACAATATATTTGTTTAGAGCACTTTCCTTCTCTTACACCATAAATACGGTAGTATAGGACATTGTCTGTGTAATAAACTCATCAGAATCGCTAAATTCCGAACAGCTGATCGCTCAGCTTCGCTAGTGAAAATTCACCGTCCGAATCACTTTCCGAAAAATCGAAATTTTTATTATCATTATCACAATTAAAAATATCTGACTGAAACAATTTCAGAGCTTCGGCTGCAGAAAGACGCATTTTGCGACCTGTACTTGTGGTTGGAACATTGGTATTCATGGCACTCGACAACGAACTTAGAAAATTCACCGTTGAAAAGAAATTTCGCAGTTATTTCTCTCAAATTCTGCACATGTGGATTAGCTTGAGAACTTAAACTAAAAGGATTTCGGCAGAGTGACTTTCCTTGAATAGTTTAATCGTCCCTACGAACGTTAGAAACTAGTTAAGGGGCGTGTGCGAAGCAAAATATAAAGGACACACGATCGACGATGACACCGTTGTTTGGGCAAAACGGAACTTCTCAGACAACGCTCACACCATTGCTTGGGCCTTAAAGAAGTTCACATGTCTACTGAGGCCCATGTTGTTACAAGGAACTGTACTAGAAAGTAATAGCGATCGGCATGACACTTCTCCAGTTCGGTTTTTAAAATATGAGGATGATACAATATAACATTTAAGAGCTGCGACAGAACAGTGGCTAGTCGTTTTCTAGTCGACCCAAAGGGCTTGCGTTTGAACCCAGACTGCGATGATATTTTTTGAAAATGGCTGCCAGGTTCTTACAGTCTAAAATGGGCACATCAGGAAATGCTCTAGAAAGTTAAGGGGACCACTGTTATGTTGACCTCATTGCCAGTCCAGTGCAGATAGATCTATCTGATATATGCCCGAGGCTCTGTTGGCCTAAAATGCGTTTCCTAATATATACCCGGTAAATTTCAAAGCGTGGTCATTGTTCTAAACTTGACTTCTTCTCTTGAGCAGTAGGTTACTTGGTCTACCAATACTGGATGTAAAGGCGGTTACTGTACTAATATTGGAACATCTTTTTTTAATTTTTGCTGCCTAAAAACCCATTATAACTTTTAACATAGAATAATGTCTTAGCAAACCTAGTTACTATGCGGTACCCTGACATTAGCCAGTTGGCCGTTGGTTACGGCTCTGGCAGAGCGGAAGTTGATCATAAAAATTAAACTAAGTGTTGACTTAATCTATCAAAATTATTTTATCAAAAACCTATGTTTCACATTTGTTCTGGTTCAAAAACAGTGATGTCCTCTATAAAGATCCAGAAAGCGCAGAAAATGATTCAGACATAGACCAACAACACAAACCAACAACTTAACTGTACACTTCAACAACAATCCCTGACATAGACAAAAGCCTAAAAAATGTAACCTAGCACTTAAAGCGAAGACCCTTGATCATGACCAAAACTCTTACCCCAAAACCGAATAAGCGAGCTAGTGTGTAGCGGTGTGTAAATGGGGAGAACAGCGTCAAATTTACCTGAAACAAGTATTACAACGCAACGAAGCTGTACCATCCACCGTTTCAAAAGTCACTGAATAGATTCTTGACTAGAGAGAGGTTAGTTGTGTATCCTTTACAGGACGTTGCAGAACCAACCCTAGCAGCCACTGGCTGTTGTGTGGTTTCTCTAGGCAACTTTACGTCTAGTAGTTTGCCATTGCTTCCTTGACGGTCGGCCCCCTAATACCACTGTCGAAACCAACGCAACGCCCATGGCCTGCAGCTGGGATTGAACCCGGCACCCCGGCATTAGCCACAGAGCTGACACTGAACTAGACATTTCAAAATCGGGTGTGACCACCGTTTTTAGTAAGACATTCAAGACAGCATAGACGACTCAAATAAACAAGGGTCCGAAGAGTATCCCTGGGGAATAGCTTGCCATTCCTGCGGTAGAGAGCAGTCAGGTGTGAAACATTCATTGGCAGGTGGAAGGATGGGGATAGGAGGAGTGGATGACAGTCTTGGACCTCTGACATCCTAGAGGTACTCAGACAAAGAAACGGTAGGTGACTGAGCTGGCTACGCAACCCTAATGATCCCATGTTGCTGAATACAGTAATTCACTACGACGGCCTGACTTTTTTTTTTTTTTAAACCATGCTAAATAATTGGTCTCAAAATTGTATGCTGTTATCTTGGGCGGGTCAAGGTGTCTGGGATGATGTATAGTAGGGTCCTGTCGTGTCTGTACACGCATCCCCAGACTATGACAGAACCCCTGCCTTAACGATGCAACTCTCTGATTATGTCAGGCAGACAGGACATACAAACAGATAAATAGACAGACAGACAGACAGACAGTCAGACACACGGGTAGGTAGGTAGATAGATAGACGTAGATAGATAGATAGATAGATAGATAGATAGATAGATAGATAGATAGATAGATAGATAGATAGATAGATAGATAGATAGATAGATAGATAGATAGATAGATAGATAGATAAAATGAACTTTATTTTCAAAGGGCCACAAATTAGGCACGCAGGCTTGTCTTACATTCGGCCCTTCCAAACTCCTCTCTTTCACACAGCAGTTGCATTTGATCAATAAAACATGACATGATCATGTAATAATATGCATATTATGAATATAAAGTCAAAAGCAAAAGCATGGTTGTAAAAAATGTGCGCACGCTCGCGCGAACGCAAACACGCCCACGTACACACGCAAACAAATTTACTCACTTACACACACACACAGGCACACAATACAAACATAATCTTCATAAATACGACATGCACACATACAAACACACTTACACACACACACATACATACATACATACATACATACATACATACATACATACATACATACATACATACATACATACATACATACATACATATACACACACACATACATACATACATACATACATACATACATATACACACACACATACATACATACATACATACACACATACACACATACACACATACACACATACACACGTATACACATACACACATACATACATACATACACACATACACGCACATACGCACATACACACATACACACATACACACATACACACATACACACATACACACTTACACACATACACACATACACACATACACACATACACTCACACACACACACACACACCGACCGACCGACCGACCGACCGACAGACAGACAGACAATCCGTCCTTCCCTACCTCCAGTCTAAATCTCTCATTTTCTGCCATTCTCCTGCACACACACTGTTTCTTAAATCTCTCTGGTTCTTTCACTATTCCTAACACACACGCACACACACACACACGCACGCACAAATACAACCATATTTTCTAATCTTCTTGCAGTCTGTCTTGTTCTCTTTCTTTCTCTCTCTCTC